TTGCGGGATAAAACTTACCAGGGAAAGGTTAAAGGATCTTAACATGTATAGCTTGGAGGAAAGACGAGACAGGGGGGATATGATAGAAACATTTAAATATATAAAGGGAATCAACACAGTAAAGGAGGAGACTATATTTAAAAGAAGAAAAACTACCACAACAAGAGGACATAGTCTTAAATTAGAGGGACAAAGGTTTAAAAATAATATCAGGAAGTATTACTTTACTGAGAGGGTAGTGGATGCATGGAATAGCCTTCCAGCTGAAGTGGTAGAGGTTAACACAGTAAAGGAGTTTAAGCATGCATGGATAGGCATAAGGCTATCCTAACTATAAGATAAGGCTAGGGACTAATGAAAGTTTTTAGAAAATTGGGCAGACTAGATGGGCCGAATGGTTCTTATCTGCCGTCACATTCTATGTTTCTATGTTTCTATGTTTCTATGTTTCTATGTTTCTGTATGCTATAGGAGTCAATTCAAAGTGCTAACCCATACATTTAAAGCACTGAACAGTTCTAGCCCCGCTTATATCTCTTCACTGATCCATAAATATGCCCCTCCACGTACCCTCCGCTCTGCCCGTGACCACCTCCTGACCGCTGCTCGCACCCGTACGGCCAACTCGCGCTTGCAGGACCTCTCGCGGGCTGCTCCTCTCCTATGGAATAGCTTGCCTACTGCCATCAGACTCTCCCCTAGTCTTCAATCATTTAAGAAGGGCCTTAAAACCCATCTCTTCAGGAAAGCTTATGGCCTCCCAGAGTAATCTCTACCTTACATACCTGCCTCCTGCTCTCTCCTATGGGACAGTGCTTTGCTCTCTCCTCCAGCTCTGCTTCACTCCTACTTGATATTTATTGTCCTAATGTTTCAAACACCCCACCTCCAATAGTCTGTAAGCTCGTTTGAGCAGGGTCCTCTTCAACCTATCGTTCCTGTAAGTTTTCTTGTAATTGTCCTATTTATTGTTACACCCCCCCTCTCAAAATATTGTAAAGCGCTACGGAATCCGTTGGCGCTATATAAATGGCAATAATAATAATAATAATAATAATAACAAGCAACATTATCCAATTATTTCTGGTATTTTTTGTCTTGATTGAGGTGTCATGCTGAAGGAAGAATATCCAATGCCTATCCAAATGCAGTAGTAGACTGAAAGTTCAGGTATCCATAGCACACATGTGGCATCCATATCAAATAAATATTTAACAGCATACTTAGTATGTTTTTTTAGGTCTTTTGTTATTTTAAATTTGGGAGGATGAAGATTTATCATAAACATTTCTGTTTTTTAAATATACCATGTTGTTTTAGCTTGCTTCTTTTAAACATGTTTCATACAATATTCTTGATATAATAAATCTTTTTCTCTAGATGGAATACTTCCATAATATTTCTATAAGCCATATCTCCAAATTTTTAGTGCAACCATGGGTGGATGTCTAAAATCTAGTGGGTACTGGCATTGCTATATTTGGAGTGTATTCTTCTAGATTAATATTATTATTATTATTATTATTATTATTATTATTATTATTTAGTAGCTATGGCTGCTAAAGCGTATCTAACTGGAAGAAGTCTTTGTGACTGGTCTCTAGGATGCACCTTTAAATAATTGCATTTTAAAACGGTTACTCCTATCAGTATGCATGCTACAAGTTAAATGTTTTCTTTAACTTTAAAATATCATACTATAAGAATCAAGTCTTCAATAAAATTATTTAGTGCCACTATGTCACAATTTTATTAAAGAAAGGTGGTGAGTATAAACCCACCTAATTTTTCTGATTAGTCATTTATTTTATTTTCTCTGTTCGCTTTTCTTTTCAGCATAATTGGATGTTTTTGTTTGCACAAGCAATCATACCTTGTTTTCCTGACATTTCCCGGCAAGAATCTCTTTATTACAGATAATGATTCCTGTTTCTATTTTTCTGTGTTTGTGTCGTTTATTAATTCATATATCATTTTAAATATTGCAGACAAGAAAGAGGACTTGATTTCTTTTTTTTTAAACTATGTTTACCTGTTATTGGTTCTTTGAAACACCTGGTGGTAGAAAACCTTGCATCTTTTTTTCATGTTTAACCCCTTAAGGATGGCCAAATGTACACGTTGTGAACAAAACAAAATGTAAACAAAACCTGGCATTTGCGCTACATGTCTGTCCAACCGTAATTCAACTCTTTCATAGTAAATGCACCCACACTTATTATATATCATTTTG